AGGGTTAAGGGTTTAGGCAATATAATGGCCCTCGGGTTTAGGGTTTAGGGTGTAGCGTTAAGGGTTTAGGCAATATAATAGCCCCAGGTCTCTGGTTACCGAAACAATGCGTTGATTACTGAGGTATCCAGATATGGGTAGTTAGAAACCTACTATTGTGGTAGGGTTTACGGCACCTCGAGCTTTTTCTGGTATATACGGAGAGCTTAGGATAGTAAGATTTGGGGTTGTTTGGAGTACCTACAATCCTCAACCGTTGGAGTTTCTACAGTTTGGGGGCTGAGCGTGGCAGGGCTTCAGGGTTGAGATGATTTTGACCGAAGACATATATAATATGCTATATTCGCTACCACAGCTTCTATATGCATACAAAGAGTACCTTTGGTCTGGAGTGGAGCTTGTATATTGCAACCGGAAAAATTGGTGGGATTGAAAGCAACCTCATTGAAGCTTCAATACGGGCACGCTTCCAAGCGGGTACTCTCTGACAATTGCCCAAAGTAGCAGATGTGCACCGCAGCTGCACGATACTTGGCATGGCTGCTGCAATCTTTCGGGTGCTGGTCACCTGCTGCTCGGGCTTGTGATGCTGACCCTCCCAAGCCTTTTTGCATATAACGGGTCATGTATAACATTTACATGCAAATAATACGTTAACTTGCTAAAAGGGATGGATAGATATGCTGCGAACGAGTCGCCTGTACGAAGTCAACAGCCGAACACCGGGATGATTCGGCGATGATGATGATGCTGATGATGATAATGATGCTGACCGGGATCACCATCACGGCTTTAGCTATATCACCATCCTGACAATACTCATCATGGTCGTCAGCCTTCATCAGGATGAAACTCGTCATCAAGGGCAACCGTAACACTGCTTCAATGACACCAATTGGGAATTTCAAGAAACGTACAATAGAGGGGTTCGCACTCTAAGGACATCCCCATGCCCCCACAGAAACCACTAAGAACCCTAATGGTTGGCAAGCTTGTACATTTCTTCTTTTACACGCAACCCAGGATCGCATTGTACCACCCGAGGAAGGCCCAGAGTTGGGACCAAACGGCACCAAAGGCAAACTCCTGCAGCCAAGGTCGCAAGGTTTAGGGTTCAGGGTTTAGGGTTTAGGTTTTTTTCCCTCTCGCAGGGCAGAGGGTTTAGGGTTTAGGGTTCAGGGTCGTCAGGGGGTGAATTGCTGCATCTTCGAAATGGCCTTGTAACCGCAGGACTTTGTACTTACAGGGCTACTATAGTGAATCCCAAAAATGTTGGGGCATGGTTTAAGAGGTTTAGTGCGAGGGTGAGGAGAATGATGATCCAACTTTCTGGCTTCTACTACGAAAGAATCCTCTGTGGCTGAAGGTCGAGAGAAAGATGAGCGGGGCCTGACGATCCTGGCACAACTAGGGCCCCAAAAAAGCACAGAAGCAAAATTAGGATAGGGCTATCCCATATAAACCTCCTGATACTGAAGCCCAATATGGTAGGGATATCCATATAAAAAGCTTATGCTTATGTCCTTTTGGGGTTCCTAAAACTCCTGCTTCAAGACAGATCGAGCGCCCGGACTTGGACAGCAGTTCCCTCTTCAGCACGGATTGAGGTGCCCCGATTATTCGAACAGGGATTGTGGATAATGGGCCCTCAACCACCGGATCCTCAAGTCTCTGGGTCCAGTAAGCCTTTGGACCATACACCCCGAAACTCTACGCCCTTCATGAACAACCCCTGAACCCCCAAACCCGACCGCTAACGCAACTGGCAATGATTGTCAATGCAAGTTACAGTAAGTTAGAGCCCCTAATGAACCAACATATCTACAATCCAATACTCCTGGAACCCTAAACCCTAAACCCCAAACTCTGACTCCTGTGACGCATCGCGCACCGAGAGGGCACAAACGGAGTCTGCTTCCCCGATGGCATCTGCGACGGAGCCGCCTTGGTTCTGCCTGGGCCGCTGCCAGCACGGGGGGGATCTGCAGGTGTTGGGTTTTCAAAAGTATAGAGATTTATGCAAGTTTTAGGCTGATAAAACTCCAAAAACAGAGATTTGGAATTTGGGCAGTTTTCAAAAAGAACTCTAGGTCTTTTCGCACACGCCCAGCTGACCAAGTAGCACCGCAGGGAGTTCATTAGAGATTTGGACTTCCGGGGGGAGGAACATTTAGATTTTAGGGTTGGGGGTCAGCCCCTGAGTTTGGCTTTGTGTGGTTGGCGGGGGGGGGGTGGTTGGGATGTGTGCAAAATCTGCTGTTCGAAGGGCTATACGGTTTAGGAGGAGTCTTGAAAGTGCGTGCTAGGGCTATAAGAGCGTTGAAGCATCAGGGCCGACTGAATTGGGCTGTCCTTCTTAAAGCCTTGCCTTTAACCTGCGTCCCATGTTCTTCCAAAGCTCCAACTAGGATAGCTGGCCATAGGATGTACTGGTTGTGGCACTGCCTTGCTGTTGAGCCCAGCGAACCCATCCCCAAAAGATCCCACGATTCTTCGGCTGGCGCCAACCTGCTGGGCAACTCGTAAATGCTGCCGCATGTCTGCACTTGCGCACCCCTAGAGCCTAACACCCTACCTATAGTCTCCATTG